AAATTTCGGTCAGGAAGTAAAGTTTGCATTCATAAGTAAAGTTTGCATTCATATATACATATCAAATCTTTTACGCGATGCAAAGGACGGCACCTCCCAGGTCAGTTTTTTCGTTTCTTTTGTTTTATGTGTTTTTTTGGTCCTAATAAGACCCAACGACGTTTGTTTTCTTGCAAGTTTAATTGCATATTAATTTGATTACAGTACCATTATCTTTATAAAGTTCTTTCTTCTTAGCTATGCAGGACCAGCCCGTACGTTATTGTATTTTTGACTAATAGCAGACCGCTATTTGTTTTATTTTGATTTTAATTTTACATTGCTCGGAGTTGCATTTACCTTTTTTAACACCCTAATGTGTTCTTCTGCGGACGCGTCGGGAAAAAGGAACAGAGAATTGAAGCTCCAAAAAAGATTTATTCGGGACAATTCAAGTTTTTTATTAAAAATTTTTACTCATCAAACAAGAGCTTCAATGGTCTGTTTCGGCGAAACGCGTAATGGTATTTAGCCTAATTCGGCACTCAATCATTTTTCCCTTGAAAAGCCTGGTTGAGGGTACGAGTGGGTTAATTTACCATTTTACGCTTTGTAATTATTGTATTTTTGTAATTTTGCAATTTATATTTTCATTATAATTTTTGCATTTTATGTTTTAATATTTTTTCCGTCAATCTATTTTTATGTGTATTAACTTTTCACATATCACAACGGTCAGATTAGTTTTTTCGTGCATTCGCATGTCTTCCAACATTAATTTTAACAATTTTTTTCGCGTGTAAGCAGTTTTTTCTAGATTAATATTTTTTAAAAAAATTTCTTCTTTGTTAATATTTTAGTAATACAGCGTTGAACTATTTCGTGGAGCTACAGCTCCTGGTAACTTTTTAGCAAGATCGCTGCAATATTTCTACCTACTATTATTTCATATCTTTTTACAGCATTATGCGCAAAAAATTTTTAAGACCAAATAGGTCTTACGTCTCATTACTTGTTAGCTTTACAATTTCTGTTTCAATTATATATATATATACACTGGTGTGCAAAAATTAAGGACGAGATGGTTTTTTTAAATATAACTTTGTACAAAAGCTTTCCAAATCAACACATTAATACCGTAAGCCCCAATACCTAAGGACAAGAGTAAGTAAGCAACACTTACTAAAAGAGAAATCAGAGGGATAAAAAGAAGCTTTATGAAAAAAGTAGCATGGAGCGCAATGCGACTGAAAGCCGAAAATCCATGTGATGGGTGTGTCCAGCAAGAAAACATCCGGTCTTGATATGGGATATGATCTTCCCTGACTGCTAGGCAGGTTTCACAGCGTTGCCCAGCTGAGAATGAGGGTGTCATGAGTTGTTGAGGCATTGCTGCCCATTCGTCTTGCAGCGCCAATCGAAGCTCCGGAATCGTTACTGGTGGTGAGGTACGAGCTGCCAAGCGTCTTCCTAGAAAATCCCATACATGCTCGATAGGATTGAGATCCGGAGATCGCGCCGGCCAATCCATACGTTCAATATCCTCACTCTCTAAGAGCTGTTCGGCAGCTACTGTGCGATGACATGGTGCATTGTCGTCCATGAAAAGGAACTGCGGACCCATAGCGCCTCTAAAAAGACGCACATATGGAAGAAGATGTCGTTACAATAACGGGTCCCGTTGACTGAACCTGAGTCGAAGATGTGAAGGTCTGTACGACTACCAAGCATGATGCCTCCCCAAACGAGAACACCGCCCCTCCATACCTGTCCCTTTCAATGATGTTCGAGGGGCGATGAGAATCGCTACTAAAGACTGAATTGCTCTCATCTGTAAGAGTAATCGTCCCCATTCATTGTCTCTCCAATCCGGTTTTCCCGGCACCACAGAGAACGTCTTCTCGATGGGCAGGCGTTAGAGGTACACACCGTACAGGGCGTCGTGCAACAGACCACCACCGTGCAGTCTTCTGGCCACGGTAAAAACGCGATATCGGTCGTCCAGTCGGTGTCTAGCGATTTCTCCGCTGTCTGCCGCCGTGTCTTCTGGCCGTAAGGCAATATACCGGTCATCTGCGGGTGTGGTTCCTCGTGGACGACCACTACTGAACCCCCGGATAGCTGTTCCTGTAGTTTGAAATTGTCTCCAAAGTCGTGAAACGATGCTGTGAGCAATTCCGAACTCTGCAGACACACTTGTCACACTGCGGCCTTCCTCCAACTTCCCAATGATTCGACCTCGGGTAAAAGCATCCAGATGTCGTCTAAAAGACTGATTATTCGCCATTTCTCGCTGAGGCAGCAACTTTCTGTGATTTTAACTGCTATACGGCGTGCAATCTCTTTGCCAGAAATACTGATCTTACACCGACAACATGTTTTATACTACTCAGACACGCCCCCATTACGTCTACCTGCATATCTGCGCATGTGCTACCGTACATCACCTTACTTAATCTCCTGATTGGTCTTTCTGTCCGCTCTGCCTCTTCGTTCAGCTGATATGCTAATTTTTCGACTTCGTCCTTAATTTTTGCACACCAGTGTATATATATATGAATGCAAACTTTACTTCCTGACCGCAATTTCATATTACTATCTATAACATACTCAACTATTCTTCCTTTCCGAAATCATATTTTTTTTATTAAATTCAACTATTAAACAGTTCAGATGTTTTATTACTTGAACTACTGTAACAACGATCTACTGCTATGTTACTATCAAAGTGAAGAACAGAGAAGTAAATATCAAATAAATCATACATTCTCCTATACAAAAAATAATGTAACACAGCATATAAAAACAAATATATTTTTTATTCAATAAATTTGTGCTACTTATTCAGAAGCTTGTTTAGCATATTTCACAGCTTTTACATAATTAATTCCATAAGAACTTACAACTATGTACAGAATATTCTGCTCTGTAACAGCAAAATATTACCAGGAACAATAACTTCAAGACAGCCTTAGTATTCTTGAAATTACAGAAAAACATAACTGAAAGGCAGGCAAAACTCAATAGGAATTCATAAAACATTAACAATTTTAGCTCTCTACAAATTTACAATACATTATTAAAATGTAACAGCACAACTTTAAGTAGGCAAAGTAATGTATATGTACAAAAAATTACACCATTCTTTCAAAATTTCATAACTCTTATTAAACATATAGATTATTAGCAACTGTCATACATAGGCTGCAAGACAACTTTATACCCGAAAACTCCCATGAGATTTCTTTTTCAGGTGAGAAATAGCACATATAATATTTTTCTCATTTCTTCATACACAATACCAACTTCTGTAGAACATTATTGCAAAATTCATTATAATCAACAAATCTATAAAATAGGAACAATAGAAATAAACCTCCTGAACTTTGCAACATGTGCAGTAAATTATTAACATATAGAGATTGAACAATTTTAAGATATCAGATTTATGCATCGAAAGGAAATAAATTTGTCATATAAACAACAAATTTCATAATGGACCACTTAAAATTTAGTAAAATGTACGAAAATATCATTCAGTTTTGACTGATTACTAATTTTTAAATGTTCTTCATAGCAGAAATAAGTTATTAAAAACTCTTAATTCCAGTTCAAGTATTCAACGGTTGATTTAAGAATATCCATAAATTAAACAAGAATGGCATTAAAATAATTATTGCATACATTATATTTCCAAAATTTTGCTGAATCACATGAATTTCATTGCATGATAATAATTTTGAATTGTGATCATGTAACCTTACACTGTTTATGTAATTAATTTTCATTTACACATATTAATTAGGCTTTCAACATTTTTCAAATATCTACCTAAATTTCTCTGAAACTGTGACAGATGTGATCTATCTAAAATTACATTTCTCATAAAAACATTGTTGTAACCATTGGCCAAGATAGAAATACATATTCTAAAATATTATTGTTTCCAAATCACAAGGCAAATTTCATACCATCTCTGCAATATATTTTAAATATTCTACGGTTTATCTAGATTTATTTGTTAAGTAACAATCCTTTGAGACAATATAATAAAACACAGTATACATAATGATTTATGAATGCACGTTTTTAAATTCAATATAGATTTAATTATTTATTTATTCACAACTATAACTTACAAAAGGCTAGAAAACTTTCTAGAGGCACTATTGAATTTGCAACACTCAATTTTAAAATCTTGAACGTCCTCTTGTGCATGTCATTAAAAATATCCTTATTTAGCATTAAAAACATGTACCTGGCAGCTATATTAACAATTTCTCACTAAGTTTAAAAGGTTAATAATATGACTCAAAGGAAGCAATGATGCCACATCAAATGCCAATAAATATGTAACTCACAGATTATGAAGAAATCAACTTTAAATCTCACATACTATTTTTGATGAACAAGTTTCATAAATATTTATTTCTCTCTTGTAGCGATACTCCCTGGTGACAACGAGATCAACCAGCAACGATGGCAGATTGCTAGCTCATAAAATGTCTTAAAAAATGTGCACCATTGAAAATTATGTCTATGATAAAATAGATGTTCACTGTATAAATAAATGAAATGGTGCCTATTTACTAAATGATATAAGAATTAATGATACAGCAGTTTAACCGCCATTATGTCTTAACGTTTGTACATTTGTTGTTCTGCTAACCAAAATGATTTCTTTATACAATGACAACCTTAACCATATGTTATACAAAGGGAGAAAATGCTCTAGTAGCAAAATTCTACACATATCACATTTAATGCTGGCAATGTAAACACCTGCATGCGATGCACCTCTCCACTCAATCCATTTGAAGTTTGTCTAGTGAACTGATAAAACTTCTTCGTGTGACTGCATATAATATGTAGAGATAACAATGAAAATATCTTATTAAAAGTTATCAGAATAATATTGACACTGTAGTTAATAATGCCTCATATATTGCCACAAATATAGATGAGAAAATCTGAATCATATATATTAGAAATATATATATATATATATGATTGTATCCAATATGTTAGGGCTTCAAAGAAACTATATTAAGAAATATTCCTGGAGTCATGACGAAAACTACAAACACACATTGTAACATATCTCACTTCCAGATTTCCTACAGAAATTGATTTTATCTTGTTAGTCTTGGCATTGACAACTTACAAATATTTTGCAAAACAATTATTGAATACCCATATGAATTCTGACTAGGACGTAAAGATAATTTTGAGTTATTTAAATGAGGAAAATTAAAAATTTTAAAAGCTTTTCAAATGAAATGACCACACACAGTTTTCCGTCACTATTACAGCTGGAAAAATAGCCAGACATTTGAAGGTATCAGAACATAACAAAACTTCATATTCGAAAGTATCAGAATATATAAAACGTCATAAACTCTGTTAATTATTACTGATTATCTCCCGAAAAAAGTTCTTTATGAAGAGCTGGAAATTCAAGGTGAGGGGCAGTACGACGAAGTTTGGCTAGTGCTTCCATATGAAGAATACTTAGCTCTCGTAAAGATGGTATTCTTGCCAAAAGAGCTTCGCATATTGTAATATCACCCTTGAATGGTAGCTTGTGTGTACGATCAAGTTCTTGCCGAAGAGCTTTGAGAGTGGCTTGGCTCAAACGTTGAATGTCAGCTAAACCTTTTAATCCTGGCCGATCTTCAAAAATAATGTCAGATAAAGTAATACACATTAGTAAAGCAAGTGCATATATTTTAGGATTAAATAGAAAGGAGTATTTATATACATTGCTGAGACATGAAATAAAGAATGGAAAAGATTTCTAATATAGCTTAAGAAAAGAAGATTTTTAGGAAAGAAGAAAAGTAACAACATAACTTATGATTTGCAAACGTGACTGTTAAAGAATGCATAAATTTTAGTTACTTACGAAATCAAAGCATGTAAAGAATGCAATAACTGAACAAAAACATTTTAAGCATTCAAAACATTATATTATATAATTAAAGATACTTATAAGATTTTATTAATTTAATATATTTTTAGAAACTGATCAAAATATTTATCTTTAATGTGTCATCAGAGAACTTTCTGTTTTGATTGACTTGTACTTACATGTCCTTACCTACTTTCTCTCTGCTCCAGTAGATAAGTAAAAAAATGATTCTTAAAATTCAGATGAAACAGTCTTTAAAATGAAAGAGATAATTAAACAGACCACAAAATTCCACACTTACATAACAAAAATTACAGAGATTAAATGTGAAAAATTACTGAAAAGACATTTTAGTTCAGCTTTATTAAGACACTATTTAACAGAAGAGAAAATTTCTCAAGTAATTTGCTTAAAATTATGATGCAATTTCTTTATAATCGGCTACTGTAGGAAACTCTGTGGCACACCGAAAACATGCTTTCCCACATTTACTGGCTACTTGCTCAGCCAAAAAAAATTTTTAAAGTATGGCTCATTTATGATAGTCTTCTCAGTGTGCTAACTGTGCAGAAGAAAATAATAAATCATATAATTGAAAGAAAGAATACTTAAATTTATTTGGATTAAGAAACAAGAGAAGCTTAAACATCTGCAAAGTATACAAAAATTTATTCACGAACAGACAAAATCAGAGATCGTATGCTTTAGTACGATGAAAAACAAGTCATCATTTGTTTACTATAAGTTACCCTTTGTTTCCTTTAGATTTATGGCAGACTCTTTTGATAGATTGTCATAGCCCAAATTGGTGTTCAAACTCAAAAATTAATATACTACATAAGTATCAAACGAGGTCCCTTCCTTGATCGAAAACATGTAAAATCATTTCCAGGAAATGCACATAATAACACACATAATTCCGTGCACATAATAAACACAAAATGTACTTCTTTCAAAAACGTTTTCTGAAGATATGGACAGTGAAACAACTTTAATTACAGACAGTAATTTATGCACAAAATCATTACAATAAATCATCTCATTACCACATATTTTGTTTCCATTTTGTATTATTTATATTCATGCTAAAAGCATTGCATTACACGATTTGTTACTTGTATTTTAAATTATAATTTTTGTGAAAAAAATCATTAAAAATTCTGGAGCAATTTCACAGCGTTCAGCCTTTAATATAAAAATGAACAAGTTATAAACAAAATCTCATTACACTAAGTAGCAGGATTTATATTTTACTTCAAGAGCAGATGGAAAGAATAGAGAAATATAGAAGACTCATAAGTAACCCTGCACAGATGAGTGCTGAGTGCAAAACATACACTTGGATTTCACTGAAGTTTGTGAAATAACAGACAGTTTAATATAGCGTTTATTTGAAATATGATGTATTTTGAACAGCATAATGTAAAATACACGAAAGTAGACTTAATATTTGTATAAAACAGCTTTGTGTAGTATTAAATAAGTACATTATACCAAATGTAAAATGTATAATGAACAGGGACTAATCATGAGTTACACGCAAAAGCGTTTATTTTAGCATTCAGTAATACAATTTTTTACAAATTATTTGAAAATTAAAAGTCATAAGTGACAAATGATTTACATGTAGCAAAACAACTAAACAATGAATTGCATGTAAGGAGATTCATAACAGACGTAACCTTTAATACAAACTGATGTTTGTTCTAATACAACAGCTTTCAGGGACTTCAGAGGAAACTAGTCACTGAATTTCATGGCACATTAATTTTGAACAATACAGACAAATTTTTAAAAAAAAACGTTAACAGCATTAGAATAAATAAAGTTGCTATGCCAATAGATATGTTTAAAATTTTTAAGTTCAACCAAAGTCGGGTTAGTATTTTGCCGCCTGTGCAATATCTGTCAAATTTTTTGCCATCCTTAATTTCTGCTACCCAGTGGCTTCCTTAAATTCTAAAAATTTTGTTATCCCTACATTTTGCTGCTCTGCACTCCTCTAAATTCTAAAACTTTTGTTGCCCCTAAATGTTTCAACTCATTGCGGCTGCACTCCACAGGCTCTAGCATCGGGCCTGATTACAAATTTGAAAAGTTTGCAGAAATAATTCATCTTATAGGATTGCTATTCAAGTTCTAATTCTAGCGAATCTAATGTAAGTTAAAAATTGCAAAATATTTACTTAAGAGAAAAATCCCAAACAAAGATCATATTACCTGGAGAAAGAAGTATATATGCAGAATATAGGGCTAATTCTGTATCGGATAGTTTTGCTTCAGCTATACTTCGTGCAAAATCGAAGGTATTGGTGACCAATTTCATCTCTGTTGTTTCTATAAGAAGTGGAAAAATACTTTATTAAAAAGCAAAATTTATTTACAAATTTCAATCAAAATAAGTCCCGAAATGTTTGACCGCAAAGACCAAAGAACAAAATATGAACAATTACCTCTAATCAAAATACTGCATTAAAGTTTATAAACACAGACTCATTTCTTCTCAGAGTCAAACAATATAATTTACCAAACAGAAGTATATAGCACAATAAAGACATTTCTGAGAAAATAAGCATTCTAAAGTATTATGGAAAAGTGCCTGTCCTAATTTGTTACATTATTTACCAGATTAAATGAGTATTTCATTCATGTAACAATACATAGTACCATATCTCTTCTAAACAATTTCTAATATAAATTCAGTGAATTTGCTGCTATAAGTTATTTATACAAGAAACATTACTACCTTTTTCTGCATGAAATATCAAAGCTTGCGAAGGGTTAATCGCTTTTTTTCTTGTGTTCCGTTTTTGAAGAAATCAGTATGCAATTCATTCGAAACATTGGTATCCGTCTTTTGCAACAAACAACGCCAACGCAATTATATTCTTTTTGTATCTTTCATTTTCAGCTAACTGAAATTTCAACATAGAAATTGAAATATTCAGAGCTTCAGTTCCTTCATTTTTAGCTGATAGAATTTTAACATAGAACTTGATTTTTGTTAATACGTATTTGCTGAGCACAAGAAATGTTTTAAGAAGAAAAAGAATATAACATTTAGATCAAAACCTCAGTTGCAACATCACACTGCATTAACGTCGGAAACGTTATACCCAATGCACGATGATGCAAGGGAAAGTCAAAATTCCAGTCTGTTACCATGATTGTTCTACAGACAGAATCGGAAGCGTTGAAATTCAGAAATATGAATAATACGATAGAAAATAAATTTAACGCTCAATATTTACATTAATATGGAACCTAAATAAAAGCAAAAGTTCAGACAGCCAAAGCAACACTAAATTCGTTCTGAAGGAACTCCAAGCCTACAGGTAAATTTTAGAGATGAAAATGCTTGCTTTTTAAAAGCCATAAAGGTTCAGGTTACCAAAATACTGCTAGAATAAATGACAGCACAGCCAAATAGCTCTGAATACTCTTCTTATGGTAAAAGAAATTACAAACAGATATAACTGAATTCAAATTCTATAGAAAACTTCACAATACCAAATTGTGAGAAGTGTAAATATAAAATTCTATGGTTTTATCAAGACAATAACTTCTACAAGTTTTGAGAATAAAATGCAAGCCAAACATGTTTCAAACTTCCTTCTCGGTACTACTTAACGACTTAACCACAGAAATTAATGCAGAAAGTAAATAAAGATACAGATAATTACTGCTTTCATCTTTTACTAATGTAACTACTTCTTTAATATTTCATGTTAAAACGTAAGAAATTATTATAAAATCAACCTTACTAAAATGGTTTTTTTCCTTTATTAAGGAGAGCTTTTGGACCTTTTCTTCAGCCCGTACGAAATAAATGAACAAAATATTCCTTAAAGTTACCACCGATATACAGTACATAGTTAAGCTGAAAAGAGTTCTAGGTTTATCGAAGCTACAAAACATGTAAAATCAAACTTTGTGGCTTCGCCGGGATTCGAATGTCGAAGCTTTCTCTTGCTAGGTGGACGTGTTAATAGTACACAGCATAATAGTAGCGCGATAATTTCTTACAAAACTACCAAATATATGCTAATTCAATGTATGCATGCGACCATATCTATTCCATTTGATGGGTGAACTATAAACTTTATATATGTCAAGACAGCTTTAACAGATTTAAGTTATTAAGTTATTCTGCATAATTAAAATATTTGGCAGCAAAGGAAGATAACAAAATAGCAATGTTTTTTTTTATAACATATGCATTTACAAACAGAATTATCAATTATATTTGAATGAAACAGAAAGATCTCGAGCTTTGAAATGAGAATCTTACTATGTGAAAGACTAAATTCCATGACCATAAGCACTTTAAGACACGAACAGATGAGCAATAACATTAAAATAAGACTTCTTCTTACATTTACAATAAAATCACAAACAGTTGTGTAAAAGATTTAAATAATATTCCTTCTCAGGAAGCAAAGTTTATGTCGCTTCTAAGGGACCAAAGTTTGCTTAAAAATTTCTGTCGTGGTGTATTGCAAACTTTGTTTACCAGCTAATTATCCAATACATCAAATAGTATCAATTATTATGAAACTATATTTAAAATGTAATAAAATAAAAAGTACTATAATGCTTTCCTGAACTACATTCATTTAACGATGTTAAGAATGCTAGGAAATATTAAAGGGTTCAAAATATAACTATTTGTAAAACAGTCATAGCTTTAATGTTACAAAATATTAAAATTAAATCTTTCTTTTGTTATTAACAAACTCGTGTTTTCTAAATATGTGTACTGCTACACTGAATTAGAAAGCAAATGTTTCAAACCTGATGTAATGAAGGCTTCTGGAGGTATTAAACTTTCACCATATAATACAGATCTTGATGACAAATCATAATACCTGCTCATTCGGATTATGCTCAGCTCAAACCCACCTGTAAAATGTGATACTTGTAAAAACTTTTAGACATAATATTTTTCACATTACTACATGAATTTTCAAAAACTATTTCATTTACATTCTACATTACATTTTTTAAAAATAAAATTTAGGATATACATAACTACATAAAATATCATGCAAAAATTTAAATATACTTTAGAAGTATAAATTTAAGTTAATACATTCATAAACTAACATCGAAACGTTTATTTAGAATTCAGAAATCCAGTTCTTACTTAATGGTTAAATAAACAGGAACTTAATTTCAAATACCAAAACCATTAAATCAAATATACTTATAAAATACTTCACAAGACACTCTCCAATGGTCTGCTATGCGCGATACTTTAACATTATTCCATCTAATAAATCTGATAGTTACGCCATAGAAAATTTTGTTCATTTACTGAAAGTTGAATAAAATGCATTACCATTAACTATTAAAAATTACTTTTACAATATTTAAAAAAACTATTCAATAAATTAAAAAGAGGTATTTTAGTAACTCAGTTAGAGGTTTTACCATTTACAGTTTGATGATATCTTTAACAAACGTACTTCGCTTTAAAACTTTCAACATATTGTGAAAAACTGGTAAATTTGTGAAGTTCCTTTAATTTGAATAATCCATAATTTTATGTCGTGAATCTGCAATGTAACTTCTCTGTTTCCTTTTCCCCGCCAGAATGCAAATTAGTTCAAGAATATTCAAGTGAGGTTTTGAGTTTGTTAAGACACAGCGTGTTCTGCTACTCATGGCCATTTTACTAGGGTTGCTGTTCTAGATAAGCATTCTTGTCTTTGGCATTGCTTTTATAACTGTCGATAGTTGAAAACCACGGCGGTATAGTTCTGAGCCACCTTAGCGTTAAACTGATCTGTGTACCTTCTTGGCTACTAGTTTATTTAAATCCAGCTTTATATTTGAGTTACTGCTTTCAGTTTCTCGCCATTAATGCTGGCGGAGTTGTAAGCACTAGGAGTGTCTTCTGTTCATCTTATTTAGTTTTAACTGAAGACTCTTTCACACTCTTCACAAGTCTCTGTGGTACTTAGCGATAAGTTGTTTAACGTCTACATAAAGTTTAACTCGGATGACAGCAATGATAATTAAACTTTACAAATTTCATTTGCTGATATTTAGTTGAACATACGTTTTGACAAAACTTAAGCTTGAAAGCACAGTTATGACAGTTAAACTATGCAAGAACTAAAAACAGATTAGTAGAAATTTTTGGTGTATGAGATGTGTCCTAAATCTGTCGCCCAAAAGCAATAAATTAAACTATTTTCTACATATTCTCATTAAAATTTTCTGTAACCATAACGCTTCAGCCGGCTTTATTTTCTGGCTATAAAACCTACGCCTACCTAGCAGAATATGCTGCATGAGGCTTAGCAAACCCAATTTTTTTGCGGCAGGAAAGTAACAATCTAAGTGACAGTTAACTATGTAGTGTCACGAGGCTTCATAAAAAAACACAACAATTGCTCGTCTTAAATGACTTTCAGTGGACTTTAAGGTGCAATTAGTTGCATTTATCAGCATTTGTTAAAACATATAGCGAAATTTTGTGTTATAGCTAATCATTGGGCATTCCCTTATTGTACAGGCGAGAAATAGGCCCGACGTCCTTGAGGCTCTCGCAAGCATTCTTTCATGAAATACATGAACAAGACAACAACAATAACAATACAGGCCCTGTCATTTTTCAAATTTTCAGGTAGGTTAATATATATCCATTCGATTCTGAAACGATATGTAGCAGTTAGTATTTCTAGGGTTAGTATTTCTATTGGGTGTAAGAACATCATGATAAAAAAATATTGGAGCTTCTTGGCAAAGGCGGATCGAGGGAGTGCACATGTCGTACTCGCGAGAGGCCTCCAAATAATTAATTAGTTTTTTGAAAAACACTAAATATGAATATGCTTTGAACTGAATTCTTTAAAAGTTCAGGTGAAATGGGCCTCTTGCATCATAAATCCGCCACCAGCATCTGGATAAGAGAAGACGTAATAGTTTATCTTAACGATCTTTGAGACCTAAATGTTTTACTTTTTTATGCAGGAATATATGAACGTCTGATGTGTATAGCAAAACGAAGGTTGATGAACGAAATTGCAAGCAATACATAGACGATAAATTACACCCAACTTGGGAAACGGAAATACAGAAATTTTAATGATAAGTACTTAACGAAGATATGCCGAAGCTTGTAATGGAGTATACAGAATCCATTATGAGCGTATTTTGTCATGAATTTATGAAAAGCCAGATTTTCTTCTGATTTATTATAAATGTTTTCTTACAAATTTCTTTTTCTAAATGTATTTCTTGGTTTTTTTTATCAATTTAAAGATTCATTAAATCTTGTTTAGCTTTCAAAGCTGTTACTATGATTAACGTTTCCTTCGAATGTTCGAATTTGCATCTAGACACAGAAAGCAAGATATTTCTCAATTACGTATCTTGCACTATTAGTATTTCGGAAAGAAAAGGTGTTTCGAAATTTATACTTCCTCAAGAAAGCAACATGTTTTTGAGCAGGACGGCATTTCCTTAACAATATGCCATTTGCTAATTCGAATTCAAATTGAACCAAAATTTATATATAATAGCATGAAATAAACTACCGAAGTCCTATATTTTAGCGATATCCTGTAAACCAGAAAACCTATTTAATTTTCTACTTCTTCACATTAGTTACATTCATACTTTATAATACACGTGCATATATATATTAAATCATTGCATTTCTAAGATAGTGGCATTATAGTCAAATCTATATACGAGACATTATAGTCAAATCATATCAGTCATGCTGTGTCAATCATCAATATGTGTTTTTCTGTCTGCAGACAGACAGACAGAATATCTGCATTATAACGTAGAACATTGTGAGTTTTTACAACTTAAAAATTATATTTCAAAATTATTTTAAGTAAGTGTGATCTGTCTTTCCGGGGCCAAAGGAATTTACTTCTTTAACTTTAGTCTTTTGAAAACTGTATAAGTTAGATAATGCTGAAAAGGGAGTATTGAAAAGGTTCTTTACAACTGGAACGGTTCATTACAACTAAGATTTTTTATAACAGATTCCTGAAGAAAATTCAAATTTTAAATTTTTAATAAAAAATTAAGATAAAATGACCCAGAACATTGTCCTTTAATTTGCAGATTTCAGGCTAAACTTCTTTTCTATGAAACTGGCATATATAGCCATAAATATGATAGCACCTACTTCAGATCTTGTCATTTCCCTCAACTGAATTCAAATGGACTGAATAGTTAATTTTATTAATATATTCAGAATTTGTTCAGCCTCTGAGGGAAGAGCAGAATTTCATTTTATAAGAGAATACTTTGCAATGACTTAATTACAATTCTACTCTATTAATTAATGCATATATTCAAAATGTGATAAATAATTGGATAAAATGGTTGTCACTCGCCTGATTTTAGCAGAACTATTTGATCATCCTGTGAAAGCTTCATGAAACCTGGAACCATTTTAGCAAATTCAATGATTTGCTGGATAATATTTGTAAGCCTTTGTGCGCAGTCTAGCCATAAATGTTCATGAGCCTGAAAAAAATGCAAGTATATATTATGCATAAAAAGTATGCGTAAAAAATGTTGTGCAAAAATGTAGCGCTCTTTCTTCTCCCAATAGAAAACTAGTACTATTTACAGAAAATTAATAAATTAGCAAATTCCATCTTAATGTATAAAAGTAATTGCAAATTATATTCATATTAAAAATTAGCATCAGAATATAGTTATTTTGTTAACTATTGCTCTTTCACACATAAAAATAAAGATAATTTGCATTACATCCTAAATGCTTCAATTTTTATCCTCGTAGTCGTTCAGAATTTTTCGAAATCGGGAAACTGAAGAAATCCGCATTCCCCTTGGTGGGATTCAAACTCCAGACCTCCCGAATACGCGTCGAGCGTATTTCCAGTTACACCACGAAAGCATGCCGAAGGGAGGGAGAAAATACTTTACATCCTGTTTCCTTTAAATGTGATCGTTTGAATTGTCCTTTACAGTTCTTTACATTTACATAAAAAATTATTATTTAAACTTCTTTAATTATATGGGAAATTATGCATTTTTACCACATAACTTAAAAAGTACCAAAAGATTGGCTGTTAAGGCATACATATTTATCTCTTTATATGCAATAATGCAGATGAAATCAGAAGACAATGATAAAGTTTCAAGTGTCAGGATGATAGTGACTATGGACATTAGACGAAAACAGTAAAGTGCGAGTGCTTGCAGCGAAAGACTTCCTTCAGTAATTATAATTCCTTATTTAAGTAAATTGCACAATGCTTTTGGGAAATCCCTATTTTAAATGTAGCTTTTTCTTTGGCTGCATTGGCAAAATTACAAGTTAAGCGCTCCACAAATTTTTAAAAAATGCTTTCTCCAGTGAGTTACGTTTTTAGCCTGTAGAAAGATTGCCCTTTGTCATTTTAGTCGATCTGCGACTTCATGATTACAAGCATGACCAATGCTTTCCTTGTTTTTTCTTCAGTCTACAGTTACCACTTCCTTTCCATTCAAAGACTCTTAACGTACGGAAACCTCTGTAAATATATTGTATCTACTCCAAGACGAAGCTTTTGAAGGTGGAAACCTTAAAAGATGGGACACAGAAGTATAACTTTCCGCTTCTTTCAGCCGGTATTCGAAAAGGAAGCCTCATTGATTTACAGTGTCTCCAGAGAATTGTTATTGTTAACATAAGTAAATCCCATTTACGACACATGTACTTACATAATAGCAAAAATAAAGTCAAATTCTATCGGCAAAAATAAAGCCAAATAAATATAGCTTCATTTTTGCCGTTATGAAAGTACATGCGTATTATGAACGTTATATGAAAATCATATTGCCGAGATTAATCCTGAAACGATACAGTTCAGAGACATTTACTATAATCATGTTATTATTTTTAGGATAGAAAGAAGAAAAATCCAAATTAAAAAAGTGACATAAGGGACTATTACGAATTAAAATTACAATTTTATATTACATACTTTTATCTTTATGTATATATATACATATATATATATATATATATATATACTGAGATGCATACTGAGATAGTTTAGTAAAACAGAGATATAATTCATAAAGTGATGACAGCTGCATAATCTGAGAAACATTATAGTTAGCTTGAGAAAAAAAATCGCACGTATTGGAGAAAATTTGTGGCTGCTTAATGATATCCAAATTAGGTTCTCGAATGTTTAGTCACCTATATAGTGTGTACGGAGGTTCTTTGAATGGTGATAGCTGCAAAATGTAGGCCGGGTAAACTCGCGGTACATAATGGATTAAAGTGATCCTTTCGTTGCACAAATTCACTGAATAACAGAGTATAGTGATTCATTACCTGGATAGTTTCACTTGAATTCGCGTTAATAACATGACTTACTGTCATAACAGGTAAGTGAACACGTAATTTTCTCTTGAGAAGGATTGTGCTAGAAACATTTTATTCAGCTAGTGGATGAGGTTGTAGTGTTAAATGAACTAAATGCCATATAATGTAAACGCTGTGTTTTAGACAGAAACCTTTCCACTCTCTCAGAAATAAATTAATAAATGAAAAAAAAAAAAAAACGGTCATTTAGGAAACTTTTGGTCTTGTGCAATAGTGTAACTTCCAGTTAGAAAATCTGAAGAAATTTCTCGGCAATATGAATTTTAAAACATGTGTTTCTATTAATAATGTTATATCCCCACATTCAGTTATTACATAATAATTAATTAATTAATAAAAAGCTATTTTTTTTCTCAACTATGTACAAAACGTTTAAAGGTTATAATAAATCATTCCTTCATGTGAATAATATTGCAATCGCAAGGTTTTACATTTCATAGATGCTAAAATCCATGCATTCATTTTAGAAAATCAAAGGTCCCCCCACCCATGAAATATAATCTGTCACAAAAAATGTATGCAACCAGAAGAAATCAATCCACAATCACGAAACTCGGCAGGAATGTAGTTTCGTAAGAAATATGTAAATGATTTAAATTTCGACGCCAGTGAGACAAGGATAAGCGCACTATGCGCATATGAGATGCGCAGCTGGGAGAGTTTAAAAGCATGATTGTTCGTGACGTAGGGCTATTCAAACGAATCTGTAGACTTGGATGGAGGTATTGTGACTAGAGATGCCTTTGAGACGTAACTGGCGGCATCAAGAACAGTTGTCGGACTTTGAGAAGGAACATATAGAAGGCCTCAAAGTAACAGGTTGGTCGAATAGGCGTATCGGCGCCACCTCGGTCTCGAGCGATATGATAGTTGCTCGGTGTTGGCGATAATGGATTACAGAAGGGATAGTCTACCGCCGCGGAGGGGGTCAGGGCGTCCTAGAACATAAATGAGCGAGAGGATCGCGCAATTGTAAGAGCGGCAACTTCCGCACCAACAATGTCGATCATCAACAACTTCCATTCAACGCCATTTATCATCTTCCAGAAATCCAGTAGTATCAAGGGAAACCATTCGGAGACGACTGGCCGACGCTGGTATATGCTGCCGACGTCCATTACGACGCTTACCACTGACTCCCACATCATAGACAGTGTCGATTGGATTTTTGCCGAACTCAGGCAAGCTGGAGGTGTGACCGACTGGAGGCGTGTGATCTTCAGCGAGGAATCTCGATTCAGTCTTAGTGCTGATGACCAACTCACACGCGTGTGGAGGCGGCATGTGTTGTCGATATGGAGATTACACAAGGTGTAACGGTACGCGGAGCAATTTGTTGGGACACATAATCACCTCTAGTCGCCCTTCAAAGCATTAAGATGGCTCGCAGTAACGTGGATAACATTTTAACGCCGGTTGTGCTGCCTATGTTCTCAAGTCGACCAGGTGCCATTTATCAGAAAGATAACGCTTGTCCGCATATTGCTCTACTCTCCCAATAATGTCTTCAAGGATATGACGTACTCGCGTGGCCTGCCAGACCTCTCGCCAATAGAGGTCATTTGAGACATACTTGGAAGGCAAATGCAGCCGTCTCGGAATATTGGTGAATTAACTGCCCAGTTGCAAAGATTATGGCATGATCTTCCACAAGAGATTTTATGTGATCTACTTGATTAAATGCCACGCCGCGTTTCGGCTTGTATAGCTACCAGATGTCGCTTACTTACTGATTTATAACATTTTCATGGCATAACTTCTTAATAAAACTATCTTTTATTCTAAATTTGTAATCATTTGTTTGTCTCCTCATGCATGCAACAAAATGCCTTAATAAATTATTGAATTAAATAACAATTAACATTTCATCATATTCAATACATTCAAAATATTTTAAGTGCTTATTAAAATATTGAAATAATACTGAAATCAAGTGAATTGAAAAGATTGCGTATTATCAAAATACGTAAACTTAAAAATTAAGTCCCTTAAATGACTTGTGAACCATTGACAGACATTTTTAAAAGAAATATTATTAAATTTATTACGGAAATATTAATTTTTAAATGAAATATTTCAAGAAGAAGTTATGTGATAACTGAAAGAAAAAGTTAAAACAATAAATCAAGCTAAATGAACAAAATTTACAAATTTTTTTGATGAAAATAGAATGGAACATTTGAATGATACTTAGTAACACAATTTAAAATAAGTAAAAAAAAAGAGCATGTATGCACATCTTTTATAAAATAAATAGTTCTAAAAACCAAATTAAACAGAAATATGATCTTACCAAATTTTTATAATACAAAATTCTTGTAACATCTTGTGGCCTTCTAATCATTTCTTGTATTTGGTCGGTAGTATATAAACATGTTCTCGTGTAGGCTTCAGATACAGTTCTCGCAAGTAAGTCTAGTTACAATAAATAAGATAAATGAAACAAGAAATGAAAATGTTATAATATTGCATGAACTAAAATCAAAAACATATCCATTTTCGAACTACGCTTTAAACAGAAATGTTAACTAAAGTTAACATTTTCCTTATCTGGATAAGGATACTTTAGCACACTCTTCTGAAAAAAAAAAAAAAAAAAAAAAAAAAAACAGGTAGCAGTCTAACTTAAATATAACTTTTGAAATAATCTTCCCTTAATCCACTTATTCATATGAAGCGCCAAAACTTAAAATCAACAAATTGTTTGAAGGATTCTATCACATTAACTTCACACATTATTAAATTTACCGATGATTAATTAGCACTAAAATTCATAAACTGGGGAGTTAGATGTTTTGCTGTATAGGGTGCTTTAAAAGAAATGATTAGAAGCACTTACAGTGCTTACCTCTAAAACTGAGTAATACGTAATATCGCTAGAACCGCATTTAGCCACGAAGAATTTTCGAAATGTTTTGCATGTTGTGTATATTAAACAATTCATTAATATCTGAATATCAGTTCGTGTTTTATAACAGTATTGCTCAGCTACAACAAATATGCTGCATAAAGTTGGCATGCTCGATCACTTCACTGACTTTTCATTGAATTATGTAATTACTTTCAAATTAGGCGTTAATCATTTACCATTTAATCACAGAACATATTTCCAGTTCCAGTTCCTTATTGCACCTGTCTAGAGCATATCCACTTGTTTATAGTAAGCTAATAATGGGTGAAACTAATAACCCACTCCCAGAGATGGCATTTTATATAAATTAAAAAAGAGTAAATATGATATTCATTAGTTTTAAAACAGTCGTTGGAATGATACACGAATAACACAGTTTTAAAGCAAAATTTATAAAGAATTTATGATCCTAGTATTTCGCTTTTACACATACTTTATGTTTATTGTAAATACCCTTCACACCGGCTTCTAAAAGTTGTCTTAGTTCACGTCATTTTAAACTATCATTCTGACACATATTTTATTTTCAAGATTCAGGTTAACAGCGGCATAACAGTTCCTGATATATTTATTATTGAACGTAAACCATTATTTAACACAGCTTAAGAAACCAGCATTAACTTAATACTATGAGAAAGAAACCTTAAAACCTTATACCTTATGCATCGTAGTAGTGAGATCTCATCCTCAAAAGGCCAACAACATTTTTAAAAACCTTAAAACTACTACTAAGTGAAATAACTAACGCTGGAAGGGCTATATGAAAGAAAAATCCAGTACTATTAGTATTAAGCCTGTAAAACGTGTTACATAGTTTATCGAATTAAATAAGCAAAGACCGTATAATAAGTTATGCAGGAGGTGTAGAATTAAAATAAAAGCAATAAATTATTGGTTCGAAGTTTTAAAACTGTAACATTCTTCCTTGTGATGTGAAAATAATATATTATGTTCAGTATCTGTGTACTACCTTCAGTAACACAGATTTCCAAACAAAATAAAATAAATTATTAAATAATATATATATTCTAAGCATAAGGACAAAAAAGTTTTGATTCAGAATAATATTTGAAACATTGATTGAGATATAGATCATCATATCTTGAACAAAATGAACGTTATAAACTTTTCAAACAGTGTTTGCCGCATATGAATTTATCTAACAGAAGAAAAAAATGAAAGAAATAAAATTGTAAATAATATTTTATTAAATACTGAAATATCATTCAAAATCCAGCAGGCTCATTCTAAGCATATTCTTTACTTATTACCTATATGAGAAGTACCGGCTGCTGGCGCTCCAGAAGGTATAATAGATGACAGCAGAGTGCTTGTGTCAGGTATAGGCTCTAATAACTGGCGGGGATCAAATGTTGTGCTGTCTACAAAATCTGTGCTCGGGAGATCAAATGTGAGGGCTTGATTGCTGTAGGCATAGCCATTTGGAGTGTATGCATTAATGTCATTGTTGTAGCTATATCTGAAAAAGTACAAGATGAATAAAATTCACAGTCATATTTCATATTAACTTTTGTAAAAAATTTAACTCTGAGTGCAAGAAAGGATCTTAGTTTCCTAAAATAATTAGACACAATGTATAATTATCCTTAAATATTTTATCTAATAAATTCTTTATTCCCAATAAAGATATAAATTTATTTTCAAATAAAAGTTTATTATTAGGATTATTATTAAAAAAGGATTAAGTGGCTTGCAATAGCTTTTTAAAGAATAATTAGAATACAAAAATTTATTCTTGCTCATAGAAAAATTTACAAACACATCTAAATTTTAATCTATTACTTTAATTATCTAACTTAATATTATGCTTATCTTCTAATACGAAACAGAGCTCAAAATGCATACCCAATAAAGAATGGATACACACGTTAGGAAAATCCCACGGGGCTTCAAAAGAATAAATATATGAGTTTGTATATGCAACCTGCATAAATTCGAAAGCTAGTGAAAAAAATCTATGATACAAAGTAGGTGGATTGGATATCACATTTTTGGAAGTAATAGATGTAAATACATGTTATACATATTATACACAGGTAAAACTCCTTTGCCATATGAGACCAAGATACAGAATATTAAGTGATTCGGTGAATATTTTGTCTGGAGCTTACAATGGATTGGTTGCTTAGAGAGCTATTATGCGCATCATTGCCAGAATTTGGCGATTTCTACTAAGGGTGGTAGCGATAATACGTAAGCACCCATTTACGCTAAGTTATACTCATTTTACAATCCGAACTTCTCCTAAGTGCTGTAATATAGTTTCTGAATCTTAGAATGTTGTGAAATGATGTCCGAACAATATTCTATACTAACAACTATATAAAAATTTTCAATGAATTAGTCGAAATAACCAGAAAGCCATCGAAACAGCATCAGCATAAGCAGTCACCTAATAAGCATATACTTCAAATCTTTCGAGAACTTTTTGCAGTTCATGTACAGAGGATGCTCTAAAAATATCTGGCAAAGATGTAAAGGCACGGAACCAAAATAAACGAATTTGAGTACTTACGGAAAATCCCGTCGACCATTTTTTGCCTATTAAAGAAAAGACGCCAAACTACGCGATTTTTCGCCAAAAATGGAAAAGTCTTCTTCAGACATGCTGGGTTTGGTGTAACATTGATTACACATGTTAGTTTTTATTCTTGAGCAAAGACTCCTTTTTTTCCCCTCTATCACGCATTTTCGAAAAAAAAAATATTAAAATTTGGGACCTGCCTACTACAGAAGAGCATGCAGTTAAATATTTCCAAAAATATGGAATCTTACCGACTTCAAAAAAATGTGTTAATGGCCACGAAATGGCACTTTAAAACTGAGAAGCAATGGAGTAGCAACGTTAATTGCTTTTACAGTATATCTCCTTAATAAAAAATAATGGAAATTTTTAATCAAAGATTAAATGTAAATAAATGATATTTAGGCTTTCACTAATTTTGAAAGAAAAATAAGAATAGAATGTTTTTTCTTGTATTTAGTAAATGAGGTTTTTTGGTTTGGCGTGAATGGAGCCGTCTCTTGTGATCGACGGGATTTTCCGTAAGTACCCGAATTTGTAATTGAATGTGTGTGCCCAAACGGTGCATTGAGATCAAATGCGCTATTGAGAGGGAGATAAAAGTTGCTACCGTGAACTGTCACTTCCCATATGGTTTTGAGTGATATGCATCATTACCCGAAAGCACAGCTCGCCAACATGCATTTTATCTTCTCTGTAAAAATCTAATCTTCAATCTAAAAATTTATCTGCATCTTATCTTTAAAAAGCTATTAGTTTTTAGCACAGAAAGCAAACAGCAGGACTCCATTGCAAAACAGCTGTCCGACGGAAAGAACCAATCTGCACATTTACTTGAATAGGAAGAAAATTTAAAGAAGGAACTTATTTTTAATAATCCATAATCAAAACGGCGTATTTCGAAAATTAATGGAAATAACTCTTATTTGCTACAAGATCAGATTTTAAAAAATATCACTCTTACAATACTCTGTGTTTGGTGATACACAATAACAAAAACAGAAAATAGATAATAATTCATAAAACTGAAAAATCGTTTATGCTAATATTAAGAAAAACAATATTCTTATAATTTAAAAGGAACTTATAGAATGATAATTTCTCAAACGAAACGAAGCCTCAACTAACTGACAAATTTTAGTGTAACAGTTGTTCAAAATATCTGTCATCAGATCCTGCATATAATTGCATAGCACTGCGGTTTAAATATGCTAAAGCACCGTCATGCTGAAATTGCATACTTCGTAAATCTTTCAGAAAGGCATAATTTTTTTAGAAGTCAGACAACGGTCCATTTAAAATACCTATGTATTTTTTGCCAGTTAAAGTATCATAAAAACTGAATGGCGCAATCAGCGTTTTATTCCATAAAACACACCAAACATTTATATTCTAACGCACTTTGATGTTTGTTGTGATGTAAAGTGTGGATTTTAAAAAGTCCAGAAATGATAATTATGTAAATTTTCGAAGTCAGCTGTAGTAAACTTGTATTCGTCTGTTAAATGAATTTCTTTCATAAATGACGGACTATCATCGAACTTATTTAATATAGTCAAGGTTTCAGCGCTTCTTCGGATAAGTAAAACTTATCTGAAGAAGCGAAGGGGAATAAGTAAATCTTATATCACTCTGATTGGTACGTACAGAATGACGCAAAGTAACTGAATTTGCACAAAACTCAACACTGTGCTTTCACTTTTGTCCATCATTTTAATGGGTTTAAAAGTTCCAATTTTTTGTAAGTTTATTTAGTCCGATATGAATTTAAGATTCTGTATATATGCTTATAATATTCCGAAGATTACATAAATGACATATGTTTTGATAAAAATAATGAAGTTTGCAATTTTTCTCCCTTTTTTGAGAAAATGCAAAGTCTGGCTTCACTTATGTCACTTACACCTATTATACGTGATTCTTCACCCTCAAAAAGAGAGCTATAAAATAAACTGTTAATTTCCCATGGATGTAAAAAAATTAAGAAATAAAAAAGTTTTTATTCACCAAAAGCAAACTTTCTCTCAGACTTCGCTTCGAAGAATCTAAAAGTATGTGAAATATATTGTTTTCATCTTTCCAAAAGAATTTTTTCTCTATATTGCTACCTCTTCAAATATTCCAGAAATAAATTGAAAGTATAATTTTATTACTGAAAAACCTATGAGTTAGGTATTTTATTTTGCATTTAATCTGAGAGACTCACTGTATCTATTAACGACAGGTTCTGTTTTAGTTTTATGATTTCATATTTTATTGATTCTTATATTTAAATGCATTTTGTTTCATCTAAAATCTCATTCTGAATAAGTATACACATTATTTTCAATTTAAATAAATACTGGTAACTTATCTATATTGTGCCCGACAGAGGTTCAGAATTCTTTCTTTCTATATAACCGTATCAGGCCCACCAGCGGCCGAGTGGTAAAGTCGCTGAGAACTGATAGTTTGACCTGGGTTTGATTTCAGGCGAACGGGCTAGCTGCATGGGAGTTTTCGTAGTTTTCCAGTGTTTAAAGTGGATACGAGCTAGTTTTCCGTAGGAAGTCCTCCCTTTACGCAGACAGCCCTGGTTTGCTTTGCCATAATCAAATAAATCAAACCAAACCATTATGTAACCAAACCAAACTGTATTAAAGTGGTTGAAAGAGTATTTGAACCAAGCTTGTTTAAGCACTAATTTTATTGTTAATAAGTTAAGTCAAAAATAAATGTTGGTGCAGAAACGTGCAGCACTTCAATTTACATAAGATATGAAAAAAAAATCTATCGAGATATTTATTAGAATATTGGAAGCAAAGATATACAAATTTTGATGAGAAAAAAACCAATTGAACATCAAGTGAAAAATATGCACTAAAATTTTATTGGTTCAATAAATGAGTGAAAGATGCAAGAAAGTCAATTGGTACATTTATTTTAAGAAAGCATTAACAGTTAAAAATCTAGCTGATTTTAGTTATTAGTTTTGGTTACTCTTTTCAAGAAGCGTTAGGTGACGTCGAAAGATCTCGAATTTGGGAAAACAGATGAATTTAGGGGGAGATCACCAAATCTAAAATGTTAATTTTGAGGTCGCCAATCATTTTTTTAAAATCGTATTTTGTTATATTTTACATATATATACAAAATATGAAAGTAGAATGCAAGATATAAAATATGAAAGCAAACTACTAGCTTTGATTTGGCAACAGTCCCTTTTATTCCTTATTATAACATGGCTACTTCCCGTTCCTGTCCTAAAACTACTAACAGTTCATAATACATGAATCTAAAGTGCGTCATATATGATGCCATCTTATGTAACGCGTAGAATTGCGGATATCTTTTATCCAATCATAAACCAAAATTTCAACAAAGAGCCGATTTTGTATCTTTCGCTCCTGCTGAATACGAACTTACTTTTCTTTTCCTACTTTCTTTTACTCTGCTAGTACATGTCGCTCACCTCTCTGCTTCGTCCATTTCATTATATCCTAAGCAATATATAAAATATGAAAGCTAATTCTATATGAGCTATCGGCCAGTCATCAAGATATTTACAAAATTTATTATATATATATATATATATATATATGTTGTGTGTGTGTGTGTGTGTGTGTGTGTGCATAAGATAAAAAAATATAAAACTCAAAACTTCTAACATTAATTTTGCTACGTCCCCTTCGTGGCATCTAAAGTGATAATTTTGTAGCGATGACTTGAGTATAGCGTAGATACATCAGAAAACACAACGGAGGGGGGGAAAACTTTATAAACAGTTTTATTTTGTAATTCAGCATGTTCTCGTATAATGACGGCTGCGATATGCACCCGCACAGTTTTGAAAGTTTACATTCTCAAGCAATGGAGACAAAGCAGAGCGAGAAAGCAGAGACCGGATTAGAGAAAAAAAAAAAAGAGAGTTTAGATTCCACGAAGCGAACGCAACCAAATTAAAGTTAATAATTTAATAACTTTGAGTTCATATTTTTTATCTTACACTCACACACACGCATACATATACATATATATACATATATATACTCTTATAATAAAGGAGGATTGCCTTATTCATTTGCATCAAGAGCTCGTTTGCCATTTAAAGCGCCAACTTAACTTTCGCGATCCAAATGACATATTTTCATCTCACAAAATTTTTCTGCGCTAGCTGTCAGTTCTAAATTAGTTTACAACCAAGGCTTCCTCGATTATCTGAAAACCAATGACAGTAGTGCTACGCGTTGTTAAACGCTTCATAGATTAATGATAGAATAATCAGTAATAGAAGTGTCGATAACTTAATTTATTTTTCTCTCATATTGATTTTTCAGCTTCCGTGTCATGTCCTTACTTTCACACCTCAAAAAAATAATTAATAAAGCATGCTATAAACATGCTTCGATAAAAAGACAGCAGTATCACGAAAAATGCTCCAGGAAGCTAACAGTAAGATTTCATACTAGTTTTAAACTATACTGCTTGCCATTTTGTATTAACGTCTATCAGCGAGTATCGTGACGAGACAAAGACCATAGAATAGAAATTAACATATGGCTAACTTTTACTAAAACTTAAGTCATGAATGTCATAAACAAACCCGTTATTGAGGTACGGCACATGCTGATTAGAGGAGGACGGTTGCTGTTGATCGAAAACCGAGCTATCGGGAGACGTTTCGGTCGCTTGGGGCGTCGGCAGAGGCGGTGGCTGCTGTGGACGGACTAGTTGGGCTCGATGGAAGCGCACCTCATCTTCTACTTTTTCCCTCTGCTTCTTTGACATGCGACCGAATTTAACCGCTGAAAAACAAATGTCAGTTTTAGGTAATTCCAGGAATATTAACATCACATCTACTATCTGAACAACTTAAAAAATATTTACACATTCATTGCCATTATACACCGTCTGTCCGAAGAGTTCCGAGGCAGATTTTCTTTCCAGCATATATTCATAACTGAGAATCAATCATACCTAGAATTTCCAGTTTTATCTGGGTGTCATGGGTCGGTTGTGCAAGTGGTTCTGGAACGATGGAAGGAGAGCGATCTCTTCTTGCTGCACAACAATGCGGCTAAAGTTGTGGTGCAATTTCCAGTGAAAAACCGTGTGCCAGTTCACAAACAACCGGTTTGGCGAAGAGTGACTTTTTTATTCTCGAAATCAAATTTCACATAAAGAGTCAATGTTATGACGTCGTAATTGACATTCAAGCCAAAGTGGCATGCAAATTGAATAACATCGCAAACAAGGACTTTTCTGACAGTTTCATATGGTAGTACGAACATTCTGTACGCTGTACTCAATTAGGGGTAGACCCTGAAGCATTAAAAGTTTCAACTTAAGTTTCCTCCAGTTTTCATTAATTCATTCTCGGAACTTTTCGGACAGGCGGCGTGAGTAACAGTTCTGGAAGCTATTCGTTTAGATTCAGCATTCTGAAATATTAGAATATACATAATTCATGAAAGTAATTAACTCGATTTCAAATTAGCATAATCAAGTGTAGCTTGACTTTATATTAACTTGATGTATATCAAATGAAAAAGATCTTCGAATTTTAGAATATCACGAAAGTGTTTCAGTTCAACAGGGCCATGAAGAGGTGAAGGGAGTGAGCGAAATAAATTGAAGAAGCACCAAATTTCAGACCAAAAAATCAGAAATTAACTTTAAATGGATCGAAATTATAAGATATAAATTATTTTCCGCCTTTATAAATTTTCGTAGCCGAAGCCTTCTTTCTTATGTTAGTTTTACAGTTACAGTTCATGATTTTCAAGAAGGGATGATAAAAGTCTGCGTTACAAAAGTTGACCACATTTTTACAACAAAAGATAATAAAATTTTGCATTTTTAATTCCCTGTAAATTAACAACATTAAAATTAATAAATTAATTCATTATCAGAATACTAATTTTACAATATAAACAGAACTGCCCCTTAAGGCTTATGATGTCTTTTAACATTCGACTGGACTGTCCTATAGTTACAGAAGCAAGATCTAGTGACGCGAAAGCGAGGTATAATATATTGTGTTAAGATGCTGTTTTGTCAGCCAATATTCTTCTATTTCTTATTGCATGTATTTTAAATGAAGAAACACATACAGACTGTAAAACGTTACTTCGTTTGCTCTTTGGTTACCTACATGTTCAATGTAAGCTATAGAAAATTCATTTATTGTATTTTATATAGAAATGTATATATGTTATCTTACCTGAGGGAAAAAGAAAAAACAAAAGTCTCTTTGAATACAGCGTTTATGTCCTATATTGTTTGTTAACAGTTGTGTTACGTTTACTAAATTTTAATCAATGTTCTATAAGCGCTACTGCATTTTTGATAGCAGCTCTTTATGTGCAAAAAAGTAATACCTTTACTGATCCTTACTTAAAAGAAGGAGAAAACAAACAAATAGACAAATAGTTTTACTGATAACTCAACTTTAATAAAAAAAAATGCTGTAAAATTATGAATAAAAACGTTACAGAATTAACACTTTCTTTTTTTGGTAACACAAGTATAATTTCTATGAATGGGCTTTAAAAGCTTCTGATAATACGCGAAGAAATTTAAATTATACGCCTTCATCAGTTGTGATGATCCAGTTTCAAAACACGTTGATAGACTTTTAAAGGCTTCCTGAATAGATAAATAATGCCTTGTCATAAAGGATCTTCAAAATTTAAAAAACGAATTAAGTTGAAATACAGATATTACATTTCATTATTTTCACACTTCCTTCGATTTTAAATCTAATTACTAAAATTGCATTTTGACTTATTAGTTATTTCGCCTCAGATTTGCATACATGAAAACATTTACATATAATAATTAAATTTTTACAAATCTCTGACTTTTTCTGAGTAACCGGACAGACAGGAGAAAACAAAATTGTTAAACAAGCAATACGATCAATTTTAACATACACTATGTGAATATACGAAGAGTAAACATAAAAAAAATCGTTATTCAGCATTTACTAGAAATATAAAAAATTTCTTACCATCCCTGGACATGCCTAAAGCAAGGCATTTTTGTAATCGGCAGTATTGGCATCTATTCCTATTTACTCGATCTACGACGCAATTCTTCTGTCTTGGACACTGATAGTTCACAACACTGGACTGACTTCTCCTGAAAAAACCCTGCAGAAGAGATTTTAGTTCAAACATGTTTTAGCTCGGATGCATCATCCCTAAAAATCACTCATCATTAAAGACTGCTTGCTGTTTAAGAGCTAAAATATCCACATTTGCTTTTAAATACGCCAGGAATACTAATGCTGGAGTTTCCGACGGTGAACAGAGAAGTGACTCATAGGAAAGTTTTTATTTACGAACATTCATATGAAATGCAAGGAAATGTGGGAACCTGCATCTCTAATATTGAGAAGTTACAAGAAACGTGAGTGAAACAGAAAATAATTAAGTGAATCCTAAACTATGTGATAGTTCGGCCAGAAGAATAGAAAATATTCATAAAAACGAAAGAAATATTTGTCTACCAGTGTAGACAAAAAAGAAAGAAACACTTGTCCATCGATAATTTGTTCACGGGGACAAATCTACTTGTCCATAATATCGAAAACTGTCCACCATTTTATTGAAGATATTTGGAATTATAGTTTTCATAGATTACTATAGATATTACTCATAGCTACTTTAATCAACTGGAATTCTTTCTCACAAAATGAAGTTGCCAAAGAAAAACGTATATTTTAAAACTCGCTAAGCTATTGATACATCACCAACATTCAGAATGTAATAAAAATACACCAGTAATCATAATACCGATTTAACAACAACTGAATGTAACCTAAAATTTTCAATTAAAAATATCAAAAAACATTAAACAAAATGCCTTCAGATTTCAGTGTCGTCAATATTCCTGCCATTCAGTGCTAAATAATTGTAAAAACTCTATTGCATATAAAATCGACATTTTATTGGGAGTTACGACGTTAGTACAAATTAAAAAAAAATAAAATATTCAGTTCTAAGGAAGATGGATGACAAGAGTGATCGTTATATGCATTTTTAGTGAACTGTTGAAAGATTAACTTGTACTATATTTTATGCTCAGTAACTATTGCAGGAAGTTTAAGAAGTACAGACAAAGTGGGCTGTAGGTCCAGGTTCCTGTAACTACATTCAAGAACCTGTTTCTGTTTCGGCTCAAAATGTATTTTCGCAGTGATAAATCGAAAGTTATAAAACTTACGGAAAAATTCGTGATTTTTCTTTCAAATGCAATGAGGCCTATTCTTGCTTAACTGTCACGAAATGTATTCGCAAAATTTTCATGTAAAATAATAAAAAACTTTCATAAGAAAATAGAAAAATGAGAGAAAAAGAGAGTAATTTAAAATTTATCTCTAATCTAATCTATGTTTATTTATAATTTAGTAAAATTTATCTTTCCTCACTCTCCAAAATAATATCGCAAGTCTAAAACATTATTATTCCTCATGAATAACATGCATATCAATTTAAATGCTACGTAAAGTTATGATGATAAGATTACTGTTTAGTTATGGTAGATAGTCTAATGAATGTAATCTTGTTCTTTAAAGTGAAAGAAATTCTTAAAAAATGAAATAAATTCTAGTTATCTGAAAACAATAAAAAAACATAGTCAGACCTTTTCTCAATTTTTAGACAGCAAAGTGGAGCAAGCAAGAAAATACCGTCCAAATTTGGAGCTTCCCCTTTTTCTCTTATTAATGTGATAAGTCCTAAAGTATGCCATCCAGTTCTCCCCTGGAATCACCTTGCTATTATTACAAAACTGTTAAGAAAGAACCATTTATGCATAGTACGTTCTCTTAAATCCTAGATGTCCTGAGATTTGTTTCAACTCACAACAAAGATTAATAGAAATCTTTGTGTTTTCAAAAGCAAGATAAGTGTGAATTTGTTCTTGGATTTTCATACTTTAAAAGCTGTCGAAATGCAGTCCCGCATTTTCCTCTTTTTGGTCAGTTAAATCTGGCATTTAATTAACTTTTAAATATTTTTATCTTATTCCATTCCAATATACACATAAGTCTGAAACTTAACTGTGTTCGAGAAATTAAATTTCGCACATGTCCTGTTTCAGTTAAAAATCCATCACGCTTTCAAGCAAGTTCATGTACTGCATTCTTCAATCATTGGTATAGAAATACTTCAAACTAATAAGAAACTTCCGGCTCTAAAGCTCAAAATACTTCAAATTTTCTAGAGCTTGATTTAATCTCATTATGCCGAAAGTGAATAAGCATCGTATTTATTTGTAAAGGCTTTCTGACTAAACTGCTGCGTTTATCCAAAATTTGGGAGGAAAAGTGTTTGTTTAAAATTAAGCATTGAATTTGCTTATTCAAGTTGAGGTAAATACTTGAATGTATTAATAGGTGTTTAGAATTTAGGTTTAATTTAGGTGCGGAAGCCATCTTAAAGTAACGTCTTTCTAGGTGCAGGGAAAAGTTAACCGTGAGTTAGGCGCGTGGTTAACTGTGCGCCTATTTTTGACAGTCGCGCGGTTGACACCTGTCACTCACGCACTTAATCTAGAATTAAACTATATTACATATACGACACCAGTTTGTACATAAGTCTGATATCAATTTGCGAAGCTTTCTGTTTTCCTTCAAGCCGCAATAATTTTGTTTTAATTGTAATCAAGCTAACTGCGAAATTTTCTTTTAATCTTGAAACATTATTTTGAGGTTCCCCTCCAAAAACAATGATATTAAGAAATCACTACATTGGTGAATCAGGTGACATGTTTTTACGTTTTTTTTCCAAAGCTTTTCTAAAAATTATAATATCAGTTTATTCAACACAAATTTTATTTATTTACACAAAACAACATTTAGGGAAAATTCCTCAATTCACATTTACATGAGTGTAATGAAATAAAGCCTTTGAAATGTTTTGTTACAAAATGTTTTATACCATATCATTAATTTTGATTAAATGCAATCAAACAGAAAAAGCGGCGACAATATTCTGCAGAATCCAATAAACTAGTTCTTCATTTTATTTATACAACTATGTTACGGAATTTTTTTAGTGTTTTAAAACTAAAATCACCACATCTGCAATATGTATTTACGCAATTCCTCTCAACATTTAGAACATCTTCTAAATGCATTCACAATAACAGTATGATCTACTTCGTAATGAATATCAACACTTCTACAGAGTCTGGTAATTGAACAATTAATTCCTTGATATATTTGATAGCAAAGCCTTTTAATTTGAGCGTATGATTAATATAGAGTGGTAGTTCAGAACTGTTGAGTTCTTAGTTCATCTGTAATTAATTCAGAACATAATGCGTAAACAAATATACGCGAAGATTATTAGTTTATAGAAATACAGTTTCAGAAAGATGATAAATATTTTGTGACAAAATACACTTTTGAAACAAAATTAACCATAATTTCAAATGTAACTATAAAAATTAAAATTTCCAATAAACTTTTATATATGAAGAGATTAGCATTTTCAAAGATTCCTGTGGAAATAAAAATAAAAGTATATGAAATTACAGAAATCGAAATCTCTATTTCTTTAAATCAAAAGTTATAATCTAGAGTTACATATAAAGATACATTACATGGTACTTCTTTTAGTTTCTCTACGTATAAGAAGCTGGTAAATGTTGGAAACTACGTACAGTAATGTATATCTACTATCTGCTTACTTAACTTCCGATTTAAGGCAGAAAAAACGTAAAATTAATGGTCGAATTACAGTATATAAATTACCGACTAAATCTCGTTTTTTCCTTCCTAGGAAGTACTGTTAAGCTTTAAATTAACAATGTAACAATGCATTTGCAATGCTTACAAGGGTGTAGCCTCGAAATAAATTCGAGGCTATACACTTCTTTTGAGAATGGGAAAATAATCAGTATCTCTAATTTCTATTCGGAATTTGCATTCCGTTAACTCTTTTTGAACTTGAGTTGAACTCTATTTGAAAATTATTCGACCACAGTAATTTTACTCTTTTAAAAGTGTGAAGAATTATTCTTTAAATATCAAACTGAATTCTATTTTAAATGTTTCTAAATATCCAAATCAACTAAACTACACTCTAAATATCAAATTAAACTTTTTCTTAAAATTACTTTAACTAACAAGCTTTTACATCATGAATAGAATAAAAATTATGCATGATAAACGCGCTCAATGATATTACCGAAAATAATTAATTCATATATTTTGATTTAACTACAAAATTGATTTCAAACCTTAATGCTAGGCTGCATTCTTTAAAGCCACATATATGATCAAAACTCAGAAATATAAGTAAACTTGACGAAATGCATTTATAATTTAAAAAAATTTAAATAACATTCTAAACTTTACTTAGAACAAAGAATTTAAAATGTTGAAAAAAGTTCAGTTTTCAGACTTATAATTAGAGACCTTACCTAGAATGTTTCTTAATCGTTTTTTCTTTTACAGATTTCACATAAAAGTTTGCACAGATATATCAGTTCCTTATACCTAGTTTTACAAACAGATTCAACTCAGATTTTAAGCACATACTGACTTTTGTAAAAATTGATATTGAAAAAAAAATAGATTTACAGAATTATTAAAAGTTTCACGCAACCTAAAGACAGGGATCACTTTTCTTTTTTAATTCTCAGAAATACTAAAAAGCGAATACGGAATATGTAAATTAATTACTTCTATGCTATGACATGAGAAAAAGCACGGAGTTAAAATTAGTGTTGCCTCGATGATAGAAGGTTAAATATTACTCTTTACCTATTTTGCATGTATTTTACTTTTTATCTTTTGTCTTCGTAGTTAAATATATATACATTTTGAAAATTATAGAATATCATATTAAAATAAACATAAATATATAACTAACGCCTACAGAAGCGTGATACATTGTCATTTAATAAATATTAGGCTTTAAGTTTGATTTGAGATAAACTCAAATAACCTGAAGAAAATGAATGAATGAATAACTTGAATTGTTTTTTAGCTTTTTCGTTTATATCCCATCTAGATTTTAAACAGCGTAACTCTACCGTTACCAGTGCAAATCTCAAGACATTTCCCAGAAAATGTAGACATAATAACGTTCCTTACCTCGAATCCATATGCTTACCTTACAACCTTCACATGTGATGACACCATAATGTACACCGGATGACTTATCCCCACAAACTTTGCATGGAATAATTTCAATCTGAGCTGTAAAAGAAAAGAAAAAAAGAAATTATAACGAATAAACACAATTAAAAATATTCATCGAATAATATTCACAGAAAATCTACAATAAAGCTAAAGTTAAGAACCAATCAATCAAATTCATAAAATACAATTTTATTTATTATGCAGATTGCAAGGAATGAAATGAACATAAATTTCTACCTCTGTTTCTATAGAAAAAAGGAGTTTAGTAAATCCTAATGTTTTAGAAAGCAAAATCTGACTCGAATACGATTATAAGCCACTGAGATTCTAAGCCAAATATAGACAATTCACAACCAGAAAGGAGTCATTTATTAGGCAACAGCATCCACATTCCTCACTTTATTTTTACTAAAGAAAAATCAAACTTAATATTTTTACAGCCACAGCATTCGGATGAAGTGCGCGCAGCAGAAACGCATCAAATTTTCTGTAGAGCAACGAAACAATGATGTTTTACTTTTAAATGCATTTAAAATGAACGCTTACAATAATGTATTTTCCTTTTGATCTCGTTGCAAACTCTTTTTTTTTTTTTTTTTTTCATTTTCTCACTGAAAATACTTTTTTTTTTTTTTTTTTTTTTTTTTTTTTTTTTTTTTTTTTTTTTTTTTTTTTTTCTTTTTTTTTTTTTTTTTTTTTTTTTTTTTTTTTTTCTTTTTTTTTTTTTGTTTTTTTTTTTTTTCAGCAAGAAGAATGATGTTTTTAAAATACAGAAGACCCCTCCCCGGGCGAATTAACCAGATTACTATATATATAATTGGGCTCATCTAAAAAGTTGAGCTTGTTTATTGTCGGCCGATGAAAAAGTTAACGTCGATCTTAAAAAAAGAAGACTCTGGAGTTGGGGGGGGGGAGAAAAAAACGAAAAATTCTAACTTTTTTTTTTTTTTTTTACTCGAGTTTGAACTCAATGATGTTGTTCATGTTCTGTTGTAAATATTATTTTTGAATTCCATTTACAACCTAGTTTCTTCATTTCTAGTGACGTTTATTTTTTTCTGTGTGTGATCTTTTTGTTTTAAATATAATTTCACTCACATAACTAAGCGAACTTATTCTCCAAATCAAACTACTTAATTGTATACGTAAATTCTTAGTACCATTTTTTCTATCACTTATAATATTTGTTATTCTTTTTTCCTGTGTTTTTTAACGGCCTTAGGATTAACTGTAATTTTGCATGAGGCGTGCACGTCATCCCCAGGATTATTTCGCTTAATCAGGGATCTACTGTATTTGTAACTCCTTAAACTAATCTGATTTTAAGATTGTTGTTTTCAATGGTGCCATTAGATGGCACCACTGACACTCTCTGCACTTCGGGGAAATGAGATCTCGATAGCCTGCAGTTACGGGCTACATATTCAACAGAAAACTTATCGGGTATTCGAATATACTATCGTTCTTCAATCTCACAAATGCTACTAAAATTCAAAAAAGTGTTTCAGGGCATCGCTAGGAATAGGACAAACAGCCCAGGAGCTCTTTGAGTGGAACTGCATTAGTTCAAGGAAGGCAAAAACTTTTACTCAGTGTTAATATAACAAAAAAATTTAATAGTTTTTGACGAAGTTTAGATTAATCAGTTGGCTTAAACAGCAAGGACTATAGGCAATAGTAATTATTACATGCCAAATGGGTTCCTCAAGTAGTACAGTTTCAGATATTTTTTTGAAATAAAATGTCACAATACAAATAGGATTCTCAGGAAGATACCACTGTAGTTAGGATTTAATTTCGGGGAGGCTGTGACTTTTATTTAAAACCAATGTTTTTGTAACTGTATTCTGCTTATAAACTAAAACTTCAATTTCGGGAGGGGGAGTGCAGCCCTTTCAGCTAATACGACCATGCATGAAGGCAACAAAATGCAAATTGTTAATTCATGCTATTATGGCAGCAGCAGAGATGAATGAAAGCACATATAGAGCAATGCCGAGCGCTTAACATTCATTCTGTGGAATTATCCAACTTTCTGTCCTATTTGAAAAAAAGTATTTCCAGTAACCTTTATTTATTTATTTATTTATTTTTCCACTATACTGCATCGAATATCCATTTCGGAAAGCTAATTCAAATAATTTTTCAGTTTAAAAACCATTTACTGATAGCAATGAGCTCTTCATATTTAATTAAATCTTAAAACTGTATAATTAAAAATGTCTTTCTGATTTCCTATTAAGCCCAAAGTTAACAAGTTTTTTTTAACGTTTTGTGTGTACCTTTATTTATTAAATATCATGTTCTGCGCACTTAAACCATATAAAATTCAATTTAACAGCAATATCACAAATTATTTAAAAACAGAATATCTTTAGAATTTTCGATAGACAACCTCGCGCGCTGGAGATAAAAATGAATTGTTTGGTACAATGTTGCCATTGCTCGCTTTGAAATCGTTGACTTTGTTAAAAAAATTCGTTAAAATTCTATAAAATATGAAATAGATAATAAAACAAATTCAAAATTCGGGCTTCCAAATGATCATGTTCGGGTGGAGGTTGACGTTATTCAAAATTTGATGGCTCTACCAGAGGTTACCAGTCTGTTCATGGACTCACTCTTGCTAATACGGTTTTTTAAGTGTTATTACAGCATCGCTTTCTTCGAACTTACGCCTCATATATTTCACAAGCAAAATCACAAAATATTTAAAAACAGCGAATTTTTAGAATCCCTGACAGAGTGTTAGGGGTTGCCATATATTTCTTTACATTCGCAATATATTATTTCTTTGAAAACTAGCCAATCAAATGGTCAATCGTCTAAAGAGTTAGCATAAAAAAAAAAAAAGAAAATAGTATATAATGATTTTAAAGAGTCTAGATACTGTCATTTCATAGAAAATATTTAATATTTCTAACTGAGCATCCCACGATTTAAAAGCATTTTTATTTAAATCAATCAAATTCAAAAGAAGAAGAAATATTTTTAAGAACTGCATTTATTGCTTTTCAATCACTTCTTTTGCTACTTAGTAACAGAAAGATTAAATGTCAAAGTTAAATATCTTACACTTTACTGAATAACAACACGTTGTTGCACAGAGATAGTAAGTACACTATTTGAGGTAGTGGCAACATATTACTTTCAAATAGCCGAATTTGTGTGTTAAAATTGAAAGATCTTACATTTTGCCGAATGGCAACAGTCTGGCGAACTGGTCATAAAAATGTTTTATTTCTAATAGTGTTTCCATTTCTCGTTTCAAAAGCACTGATTCACTTAATCAAAAATAAGTTAAATTTGAACAAAATAAGAAACAAGTCAAAACCAAATTTGAATCTCGGCCTTTGAGATGCCCTTATTTGGGTGGAGGACTACATGTATTAAGAATTCGATGGCTCTAATGTGCCGCCGTTTAGTCACAAAGCCAGAAACATACATACAGGTTACTCAATATTTAATTTAAAAAATAATGATACATCGCGATAACTTTTTGTGGCAACAATTTGAAAAGTGACTTGGGCACAAAGTGATACAATAAAAAAAAGGTTTACACTTCGATTTAGAACGGATATTCATTTTAATATCGATGAATGGTAATGGAAGTATTATTCAATATATGTATGTCTCTATGTATAATCATCTAAATTCCGCCAAAAAGAAAAATGCTCGCATTGTGATCCCGAAGTTCAGCTACTAAAGGTTTTAAATAAGATTTGTGCATTACTTTATTTAACTTTATTTAAATAATATTCCATAAATGTTAATACACTAGAGAAGAAATTATTAGCACTTGCTTCTGTGGTTTTGTCAAACTTACAAATCTTGATCGTATTCTTTAGTGCAATTTATTTTACAAAAATTCAAAATCTCTTCATAAATCGAAGGACCAAAGGTCATTTAATAGCTGGACATGGTTTCATACATGCACGAATTCTGAGGCACCCAACAAAATTTTAAACTCATTATAAAAGCAACCTTAGACTAGCATAGTCTTGAATAAAAGGCTACCCATTTAATACTTCCAGTATACTTCGAAAATTAAAATTTTTGTTCTCGGAAGATACTCAAGAATCCTCCTAATTTATATTAACTCGGCCAGGTTATGGATAGATGTGAGAGTCCTATGGACAATGCCCTGCAACTAATGTACACATGTTTAAAAGCCAGGAACAGAAACGAAGAAAACCTTTCTTAGATACACTGATGGGTGCGGAATCTGATGTATTTACTCTCCGTTATAGAGAAGCACATCGATATGGTAAGGAAAAGTGAGTTGCTAGTATTTGCCAAAGACAATGGAGATGAAAGAAACGCAGAAAATTTTTTATATAAGGAAATAAATGCTGACTGGGTTACCAGAAGATTATGAACGAAACATATGCAGTTCCTTAGCATAGTATAATGATTTCCTGCAGATACGGTATCATAGAGAACAGTTTAAGCAGCTCTTTTTTTAAACAAATGTAAATTTTTTAAATAAAAGGAAAAAATAGATTAATGTTTGTTCACAAAATAGAGTGTTTCAAAAAAGAAGGTTTTAGAGTAGGGGAAATCCGTATTAAATCTTTCATTTTAAGTAGCAATTATATAAAATGAATTTAGAAAAACAGGTTTTTTTGTGTTTTATGATTTCAAAATTTAAGAAAGTATGAGCATACTATCTTTTATGGGCACTTTGTTAATACTGAATTAGATAATCGAGAAATGAAAACTATTATTTTCATTTTACTAAACACGATCAATATATAAGTGAAATTTATTTCTGAATACAATATGATACGTACGCTTACACTGGACATTCTGCACAAGACTTCTCAACCTCACATGATTTTAAGGTCAAGGTTATCAGCGAAGAAAGAAAAAATATGCTACCTCGTGTTCCATGTGTACTATTGGTGAGAAAGTCGAAATGAGAAAATGAGAAAGTAAGAAAGCACTTTTAAAATAAAGCGTAAATATTCTCAGGATACACGGAAAAAAATTAAAACATGCAAGATGTTTGTCAGGGTAAAGTGAAGATCATTTTATATTCATTTTTACATTGCTAT